AAATAGTTATCAAAGTGTTTTAAAAATGTGCTCTACAATTTTTTGAGTATCTAAAATTTTGTTTCCAATGGTATTTTCAAATCCAATTACCGCTTTGTGCTGCATTTCAATATCCACACAATTTTGAAATTCAGCAAAAGGAGAGAGAAGAGAACACACAAACACACAAGTTAAGCACGGCTGTAAGAGACATCCTTTCCGGGATTGGCGGTCCTAGAACGCCGTAGAATCCTTACCTCCTGTAGCAGCCGCTTCAGCGACTCTACCTCCTGCGAATGGGTGGCCTCCACCTCCATCGGATGTTCCACTTGGACGGGACTCGAGGGTCCCTCGCAGACACTCGAATTGGCCGAAACCGGCTGAGTGGAGTCCTCGGAGTAGTCGAGGGTGCGGCGCAGGTACTCCTCTTGTTGGCTGAAATAACTTTAGTTCAATTAATATTTGTGGACCAGCCATATCCCTAACTAACTAACCGCTTCAAGCGCTCTTCTTTCTCGCGATCTGCCTGCAAACTCAGTCGTATGAGCTGGGCTACCTCAGAGTTTTCAGGATCGCGCTCGCGTCCGATTTGGAATTTGACTAGACCGGAAGTATTGCGCAGAACTGATGCTGCATATGCCTGTGTAACGCCCACGAGACTCTTGCCGTCCACCTCTATAATCTGATCGTTGACCTGGGGATGCATAGAAAATCGGTTACTTCTGTACAAAGTTAATGGTTAGACCAACGCCCACCTGAATGCGGCCGTCTCTGGCTGCTGCCCCGTTATCGGTAATGGTTTTCACAAAGATTCCTAGTTTCTCCAAGCCTGCATCGGCGCCAACGCCCATGCCAATTATACTGAGACCCAGACCCTCAGGACCCTTCATCAATTCCACGGGGAAGACGTGCATCTTCTCCACGCGCTTTTCGAGCTCGTATTCCGCCGAAGCGGCCACCGGATCAACATCTTCATTCCGGCGATCGTAGTCGTTTACGGAGAAAGTTGAGTAGACGTGGATGGGTCCGGAACTGAAGCGAACCTTGGGATTCTTGCGTACAGTGATGGGCGGATAAGAGCAGTCGTCGTCGTCAAAGTCTAAGAGACCTATTCGATTTTAGAAAATCGTAATGAGTAATTGAAGGCTTCACAGACAGGAATGCAGAACTCACCAGGCACTTCCATCCAGAAGTTGCCATCTTCGAAGTAGTGGACTCCTGCCTCTACGAGAACCTCCTTGCTCCTTACTGGCGGATATTCTGGGATGTAGTACTGACTGTCGTCGAGTTCGGTAACCCCAGTGCTCAGAACCGTAGAGTTGGTGGCCTGTTCGGCATCTGCCAGGGAGTAGGTGGAATTGTGCTTGCTGGAGATGATGCTGTCGTCGATGGTCGTGGTCTGATTGAGTGTGGCGTCCGATTGCGTGGACTCCACCGAAACTATCGACTCGTGCAGCGATTCCCCACCAGTCACATACGTTTGATTCAGATCGGAATGTTTCTCTTGCAGATCGTAGCCGTTTTCCAGCTCTTCACGCTGACCTAGTGCTCTGGACGAAGTGGCGGAGGTGATAAGCAAATTCTCTAGGCTGCGCTTGGGTGCCTAGAAGGAGACAATTGTGATATTATACATTTCTAGAGCATTCCTCAAATAAGAGCTACGAGCTACCTCTAGGACATCCCTTAACCACTCGGGCTCGTCGTCGTCGTGGCGAGTGGTGGCTGTGGTGGCCGTCGAGGGAGTGGTGGTGGTGGTCTCTGTCTCTGTGCTGTCGGCCTTGACGAAGGTGGCATTCAGAGCTGTGGAGGCATGGCCATAGCCCACAATGTCCACGGCTTCAACGTCATCGGAATCGCCGTCAGCGTCACCGCCGTTGGCATCGAAATCGGCCCTGGCGTGGTCCTGCTCGTCGTCCTCCTGGAACTCCTCCTCCTCCTCGTCCTCGTCCTCCTCGACAATCGCTGGGACAGCTGCGATTTGAATGTCCTGCTCCCCGTTGGCAGCGCTGGCAGCAACTGCCGCTTGCCCGGGCAAATCCTCGATGAGATTCTTGATGCTGGTCGGCGATGTTGCTGTGGCAACAACGGTAGCAACTGCCACGCCCACGCTGGGGGCGGCGTTGAGTATTTGCTCGACTTCCTTGGCCTGTTCGTCCGACAGCAGCGACTGTTGTCTGTTTGGGATCAGAGCAAGACAAAAACCAAGAGATTTAGCAACGTTCCTCTGGAGATCAAGATGAATTTAAGGCGACGAGTATACAGGAAACAGGACCAACCTGATTTTGTTTTCCAAAATGCTACGCAGACAGGACACAGGATACAGGATACAGAACAGGACACAAGCACAACAATAACAGGCAATTTACGATAAATAAATGAAAGTAAACAAAGTGAGAAATGCAAAATTATGAAATATTTATGGAAACATGGAAATCATTTTAAATAATACAAATAAATGCATACTATTACGTGCGGCGCTTAAAGATTTATAAACGTTGCGAACGCAACGAGCATGTAAATAAAATTAAAGTGCATATAATAACAGTAATTAAGTGGAGAACACAACGGTCGACAAGTGTGTGCAATTAAAATGTAATGCACTTTTAATTCACACCATCAGCGGATGGGTTCCCAGTAGGGCTACCACTTCCATTCTCCGCATCCGATACCAATTTGTCACCTCAAATTGCTTTCAATTTGATGTGAGCAAGCTAAAGCTTAGTAGCAAGTTCAACAGACGGCTAACAGCTTGGTAACATAGTGCGCGAATTCTTGAGCACCGTCTATTGCATGGATGGGTCCATCGATTTTTGTTCAGTTCTTAGCCGGTAATTCCCTGTCATTTCACCTTAAATTAATACCCACAAGCCCTTTAATTGCACGTAATAACATAGTCAACTTGAGGACTGAGAAAAAATGCAGTCAGCGCCGCAAAGTACGCAATGCCAAATTAAACATGCACGCTTACACGAGCACGTAGCCCCAGGCGAGTTGGGTGGAAAATCGGGTGAAAAGTTATGTCGCATACGCCGTGTTGCACACGCAATGGCACCTGAAGTGAGGAAAACTGGTAGCACAGGTGGAACAGGCAGACAGTTGTCAGCTCAGCTCAGTTCAGTTCAGTTAGCTGGGTGCATTTAACGTTTAAGTGTTTGTCACTCTCACTTGTGCGTGACGTCACGTGTAAGGTGGATATCTACCCATCGCAGTGTTTGTTAATTACTGCCAACAATTGCCAGCGACAACGAGGACGAGCCCGCACACAGGGAGAAATTAAAGTGGAAATAATAATCTCCTCATTCGTTTTTGTTCAGAGGAATACATGATACATTCAATAAAGGAGTTGTAAAGTATACATATAAGAAAGTGTTTAGCTGACGATACAGATATAAATCTATAAAAATAAAATCTATTCCTGCAAGCTTGAAAAGAGTTTTCTTCCGTGCATTCAGAACACGGCTAATCATTGAAACTAACACAGAGAAACACAGAGCCTTAGTAGTTGCAAGTGGTTGATTATGTTGTTGATAATGAGAGCCAAGTGGCAGACAGTGAGGCAACAACAAACAGCGGAGCAAAGGCCCAAAGTGGGTACTTTCCCGCTTTTCCACTTTTCCATTTTCCCCCCAGGTGCTGCCACACACCACACAGATAGCACCATGCATTTAAATGAGTTTTCCAGCAAAGTTGTAGTGCATTTATATAGCTGCCATTGCAATTGGCATTTTCACACGCAGCCCAGCAAACTGTAATTAGCTTGGCTTCCAAAAACATATTGCAAATGGCCTAAAATTCAACGATATTGCCAACAGTTGACGGTGGTTTCGCTGGGTCCATTGAAAAACAATTCCGATGATTCGATACCCCAATGCAATCCAATAAAATGCTATAAAACAATTAGCCAGCGATTTGCAAACAAAATCTGTATATTTCCCTCTATTTCGTGACCACTTGAACAAAACTCACAATCAACAAAAACAATTGAAATGGCCCAAACACAAAACTGCAAACTTATTCCAGCGGCTAACTAAGCGGCTTACGGGAGGAGTTGGCCAGTGGAGGTGGATGGATTTAGTTCGAGGTAAGCCACCGCCCGCCCTTCCCAAATGATCCCCTTCAGCCAGGCAAAACGAAAAAGAATTAGCATAAAGTTATGGCTTTTTAATTAAAATAAAAATAACACGCTGCCGGTTTTAATTGCTGGGGAATGTGGGACAAACCGATTCCTTTCTCAACCACACCTCTACCTCTGCAGGTTGCCTAAAGCGAACGCAGTTGCATGCATAACGAAATATTACGCATACGCCGCGTGCGACGAGCGAAACAACGATGACAAAGTTTCATCGTCGGCGGCAGCGGGAAAATAATTACGAGCGGAAAAGTGTGGGAATTTTAAGGACTTTTAATGTTGTATGGATGCATTCCAAATATTCCACTGTCCGAACGAACGCGTTATAATAAAATAATATGAAAATTGTAATATTTGTTTACGTTTGCCCAGCATTCTTGCTTCGATTTTGATGATACACTATTATTCAGTTTTGGTACGAATGAGTTAGCCACAAAACCACTCCGTTTGCCCATGGTACTTGCGGCGAAAATAAAATGCGAAAGACAAATGCAATTATGCGACGCTTGGAATTCTCCGTTTGTGCCGAGCAAACAAAGGCGAAAAAGACGGAAAAGGCGGAAAAGCCGGAAAAACGCAGAAGGGCAGAGTGTGCGCTCCAACACTTTTCCTTTCCTATTTATTGGAGCACAAGTTGATTAGGAAAAAGCAACAGACATATGGAAAGCGCCATTAAAAGGCGTTTGCACAGAGAGCCACAAACAAGGTCAGTCTGCTCATTGTTTCCTCAAACATTTATAATTAATTCAAATAGGAACGGCCAGCGGGAAGCCGCAATGCAAAAGCCTTGCCCCACAAACTGCGAGCGGCTTAAACTCACTCAAGAGCGGGCTTTCCCTGTGGAAAACGCTGTGGAAACGCTCTCGCTCTCCGAGTGAGTTTTCCATGTGCTGCTCCCGGCTGTGGCCCTGGCCCACAATGACGTCATGTGTCTGACTGGGTTAGCCCTCCATTGTTGTGATAAATTTAACAGAATTTATGTTTAGTCATTCGTGAGTTTTACAGCGAGCATTTTCGTTTATTAATAGCAGTTGGCTCGCATTGTCAGGCGGTGGACTAGACTCCATCCTGCATTCGTCCAGTTTGCCAGCACTTTTCAAAGTCACTTGTCTTTGGCGGAGCGAAGGGAGTGGAGAGGGGAACACAGAGTAAGTTGTTGGCCTGGCTGAACCCGCACTCGGCAAAAACCAAGTCAAGGTGAACTATGACGAGGATATAATGCGACGATGTGCGTGCTCAAGGGGAGATATATATCCCAAATTGGCTGGTGTTTGTAATGGGTGTGGTTATCAAATTGGCTGCTCTTTAAGTCGTATCATAGTGGCTATGAAATATGTCATCACAATAGCAAACAAGCTGTTAAGACTTACGAATATAATCGAATACTTTAGAGAGAGAAAAAATAACGTTATTGCGCACATGCAAAGGAAAAAGCTCTACGGTTGACTTTTCAATTGTTTGGTGCCATTATCGTTTCGGATTTATCTGCATAAATTGGGCCAACACATCAGAGGTTAACCCGTTTAGCTCTCAATCACACACAATATCAATTTGAATGCACAGAGGCGGGCCAAAGCGAATCACATTCGCCAGGGAAACTATGAAAATTGAAAAACCCCATTTTATCATGGCGAACACGTACGGAAGAGCACAAATTCCACAGCAGCTACAGAACTCCGGCACAGAAACAACAATCAGACGGGAACAATATTTACTGCGTGCGCACCAAAGTATGCAGCAAGAAAAATCACAAACGCAGGATGATAACAGGACGACAAAGGACACCAGGGAGGAGCTGGAGTGGGAGGAGCAGCAGTGGCAGGAGGAGCAGCGGAGGAGGAGCAGCGAGCACGACGACAATGTTGAAAATGACAACTTGGCAACAATTATATTCCAGGACGAGTGTGGGCGGCTGTGTGTTGGCCCGCATATGAACAAGAAAATGGAAACAACAATGTCAACAGTATCAACATGGCGTATGAGCAACGTTCAATTGCAAACCCATTCGATTCGAGTGGCAACAATGCGATAAACTGTTCCAGCAGCCAGCAACAACGTTTTGCATTTGCCCATTCATCGGTAGATTGTGCAGGAAATTGAGGTAATTAAACGCTCGAAGGATCTACGGGAAAATGAAAAACGTTGCTTCCTTTAATCAGCTCGAAGCGAAAGTTACCTGCCTACATTTTTCCCCCTTTTTTCTATAGCAGGGCGCGGTGTGCCAGATGCCAACAACTTAAGTGCTCTGCATACACAAATATGAATATAAAAACAGTTTTAAATATAATTTGGGCACAACTCGCCCGCCCACTCAAAGGATACAAAATTCCATAACTTGCTACTAAAATGCAAACTTTTGCAGAAACTTTGCCCGAGCAAAGTGAATGCATTCCCACTTGCAGGCAATCAACGTGGCAAATAAAAACACCCGGGCTCTTCACCTATTTATCTTTATCACCCCGGCATCACCCACCGAATTAGTAGAAACGTCACACATCGCACGCAGCGGCTATAAATTGCAGTATTTGCCTCAAACTGAAACTTATGCGAGCAACTGGGTAAACAGTCAGCAGGACTCTGGGACCCCAGGACTCCAGGACTTCAGGACTCCAGGAACCAAGGACTGCTAGACACCAGGACAACAGTCAGCTGCAGGACAAAACAAAGTGCTAAAGGTGCGTCCCACCCATAAAGTCGCCTCTGAAGAGCTGCTTTCACATCGGTTGGGGGCAGCATTAGTGGACCGGCGTTGAAGGAATCGCTGGAGGCGACTAATGGAGGTACAGGAACAATCGCGGAGTCACAAGTCGCTGGGAAAAGCCCCTCGGGCCATTCACAATGATTTGCAGGCCTTTGAAGGCCGGACCTTTCAGGGAACTTTCTCTTATTAAAAGGGTAAACGAGTTATTTGCGCATTAACATTGCTTTTCGAAAAAAGGATTAACTCTTCTTACGCAAAACTATTTTTAATCGCTACTCCCATTTATTATTATTCTTATTAAGCATTGGGTTATCACACTAATCTCTTCAGATGGTCACCACATTCGTGGTCTTCCCTTCCCTAAACGTAGAGTATCTCAAGAACTATTGAAATAAATACCAACAAATGGGCCAAAGCGTCATTCGTGCTCCATTTCCAAGTTGCCTTCGAAACTTTTGCGTTGCACTTGCAGTACACTTCCGCCCCGCCACCCAGCGCCACCCACTTTGTTGCCATTTTAGGTTACAATTGAGCGGCTGGTGAAGGGGAGGTGAAGGGGAGGGTGGAAATAAAAACACTAAAAATATAAAAAACAAAAGTGGGCAGGACAGGGGCGTGCGATAAGCCAAGCACACAAATAAGATTACAACGCCCCAGCAAAGCAGGAGCAACAATAATAAAAGCGAAAGAAATACTAGCACTAAAAACGCGAAACCGAAAACTTTTTTAAATGCAGTCAAAAGCAAAAGTTCACGCTAACCAAGAGCAAAAAAACAGAAACTAACCGAAATGAAAATAGAAGGCAAAGTTAAAACCGCCGAATACAAAAAATTATTGAGAAAGCGTGAAAGGAGGAAAGTTGCCAGCGAACAGGCAGCGGAAAAATGTTGAGAGCAAAGGGCCAAGTTAACTAGAAAATGGCCAACAGCCAGAGTCATCCAAAAACGGCGCCATGAGAAGTAGCAGTCGCTAAGAAACTTAATCCTCCAATCAGTTTCAGTTCTACATTCCGCGTCTACAAGGACACTTCAAGAAAAAGCACAAAGCCTTTTAAAATCATCTCCATCTTGGCTAAGGTTTTTAGGTTTTTTGGCACTTGCTAGGTGTCGAAAGGAAAATAAAGGTTCCTTTTTTTACACATCTGTGTTTCCAGTACTTCATGGTGCTAAAGTAAGCGTTCTGAGACTATTTTGAACTATAGGATGATTGTTCAGAGTGCAGTTCAAAGTACTCCGCAATTACACAGGCCAATGCCGAAAATGGCCCACAATTGACCAGCAAATTGCCCGAAAATTTGGCCCACTTGCCGCTCAGAAAAAGGATAACTGAGTAGGAGGAGGAGGAGGAGGAGGTGGATGTGAGGAGGAGGCCTGTGTCAAGGACAAACGTTTTGGGGACAGCGAGCTCAGCTGGGCAGGCTGCCAAAAAAAAGAGGGAAGCACAAAAGAGTTGCTCCTGTTGAGCCCCAACATTTGGCCGAAAGATAAATGAGAGTTGGACTTGCAGCTGGGCCCGGTCCTTACTGCTCCTCTGGCCACGACTCTTGGCCAAGGACGACAAGGACATCATCAACACATGGCCGTAACTGCTGTCGCTGCTGCAATTTATGTAAATTGCGGGCTAGTCGAAAGAGCCAGTGCCAGAGAGAGTTGAATGCCAAAAAGGCGAGATCAGGGAGTTAAGCAATTGCCACTTGCGACAACGCTGCGTATGTGCGATTTCCCTGGGCCTCCTTTCTGCTGTCGCCCTTGCCAACTGAGTAGCGCTGCAAATGAATTTCAATTTTGCATTTCGAAAAGCATTCCCAGGGGGCGTGAAGTTTTTCAATTAGTTGACCAACTTGCACTTTTGCCGCTCGCAGGCAAATTGTTTCTTTTTTCCAGCCCGAAATTATGCAATTTAATTCAGTTCATCCAAAAGTTTCATGCGACTGATAAAATCATTTTTCCAGCCCTGAAGTTATGTTAATTGTACAGGCGATAATCATGGGGAGATTGCACTTTTTACAAAGGACTCTCGAAAATATGAGGGTCCCAAAGCAGGGGAGAAATTTCATTTGAAGGGGGAAATTGTGCAGAAAAGTATGCCATAGCAAACTTTTGAGTTTACTGCACTTCTCTTTGGGTGCTTAAATCAATTGGTTACATTTTATTTTCGGTATGTGGAAGTAATGCAATAATGTCATGTCATGTCTGGCTAAAAGTCCCACTTACTGCTTTTTATTTCCACGACAAATCCTTGACTGATCCGATCCCACATTAACTCATTTCCTGCTGCTGTCACTTGAGCGCAAAGTAAGAGGAGACACTCGTACAATTTAACTAAGCACAGAAACCACTGGCACAATGCACTTATAGCCCACTATTCATTTCCCAGACAACCGCACTGGGTGGCACCACCACCCACTATCCCACTACCCCAAAAACCATCCCCCACCCACACCCCCTGTGGCTTAAGTCGCCACCGCAATTTAAATAAGCTTAAAAGCGCAGCGAAGACCAAAGGCAAACTTGACTGTAATGCATTTCCCCGCCCTGCCTCCATTTCCCCGAGATTTTCCCACCAACACCGAAAAAGCCAAGGGAAAAACCCAGAGATTCGGGGAGGGAAGCGGGGGAAAAGCGAGCATATTGAATGCCAAATGAGCGATTAGCACTTGTCGCCCTGTTGATGCCTTTGGCAATGTTGGCCAGGATGTGACGATGATGAAGGAGATGGGATAGAGCGCTGGGATTCCCCGTTTGTTGGTTTTTGTGATTGCGCTCGAATTACACTTAACACAAATTTCATTTGAATAAACTAAATGAAATGCATGGCCAAAGGAGACGGGCTGCATAATCAGCAAAAAACTCATTAAAATGTTTAATCACGAAAATGGGTTGCAAGTGAAGTTGTCAAATGGTGGTCTTTTTAAATTAGTTGTTCTTGGTAAGAAATGCTTCAAAGGTTTGTTGATTTATCATAGTGCTCAACGGAAAATACAAACGTCGTTAGTTTAAGTAGAAAATAATTGGGGCAATGTAATAACAATTTCATAATTAATGGTAAAACTATAACATGCAGTCACTTGGTTAATGTGCAGTATGAAAGGAATAATTTTAATAAAAACCTACGATATTTTTATGCAGATGTGTAGTAAGGGTTTTTAGGGCCTATTTCAATTTGAGTAGCAAAGAGTCACTTTGTGAATAAGCGGTTCAGTTTGTTTTTAATTTAATGTGGTGTGCAGTGATTAGACTAATCGACTCCGAGTGCCAAATTAACCGCAAAAGCCTCATTCCGAATATCCTTGAAACACACGAGGATGTCAAACCACAAAAGCGTCCTGTGGGCCAACAAACCAAAGGCAGGAGTGCCAGGCCCAATTGCCATTAATGCATACGAAGGGAAAACTGCAGGAACTGGCCAATAGAGAATCGAAAATCGAGTTGGAGAAATGCGTAAGTGGGCATCGCTCTGTTGAGCTGTAAGTACGCCTATTGACGGACCGAACTCGGAAAAGTGAAAACGGAAAACTGGCCACTAACGAGACTTACGACGCATGTGTGCGACTCTTCGACACGACAGACGTCTAATTAAAAGCCAACAAGGCACTGATAATGGCAGTCACAACCGGATATATCCTCGCAATGGGATCCGTTCATCATCATCATCATTATCATCAGTAGCAGCAGCAGCAGCAATGGCAGCAGCAGGGCGGCAAAATGTCATCAGCAGGCGGAAAATTGCCAACGATGGCGAACATTAAATATTGATAATAATATTTTTCACCTACCAAAGGCGCCCGCACTGTTGACACTTCAGCTCCTCCAGCTGCAGTTCCACTGGCAAGTCGGGACTTAAAGTTTAATTAAAACTTATTTCCGGCGCTCCAGCACGAAAATGTTAATTAAAACGATGTTCAGCAAGAGATTGCCTCACATTTCGTCCGTTTTTCCGCCTTTGCCACTTTATTTTTGCCAGCCAAAACGGATTTCGTTTCGCGCGCCGAATTTCCCGTTTTTCGCTTTCCGTACTGCGTTTTCCTATTCTTATTTTGGCAGCGTTACGATTTTCCAGCCATGCGACAGGATGAACGAGCGGCGGGCATGTGATTCCATTCGATTCGAGTGGCTCCGCAAATGCAGGACAAAACTGCACAGGACACGCAGGAGCGGAAAATGAGTGAAAAGTGCAGGCGAGCGGCGTCGACGAAAGCGAGAGAAAACCGAGTGGAAAAGCGTCGGGAAACCCTCTCGTTCGTTTCCACTCCAAGTCGAGCTCATTCACACTCCACTCGACTCGGCGCACGGAAAGCGTTCATAAATAAAGGGCCAAAAAACGGTCGACTAATTGACGTATGCAGCGCAGCACACACATTTGCCAAAGAAACTACGGTTAAGTGTAATTTTTTCCGCGGCTAAAACGAAATTGCTTATTTGCGTGCGAAACGTGAAAATTCCAGGACGAGGTGGCAAGGATACGTAATTCCTCTTCCTCGTAATAGCTCATAATAAATTGCCCCGAAACAAAAGCGCCGAAGTCTAAAGAACGAAAACGCAAATAAGCACAAAAACTATAACGATTGAATGGGGAACAACTGGCTGGGGAATCGTTTGAAAATTGCATTTTAATATGTGCAATAGCGTCGGGGATGGAGGTTAGAGGTTGGAGGAGTGTTGGGGCTCAGGTTCCCCGCCTGTAGACAATAAATCAATGGCAAGTCAATTCGGGGAGCAGCCACGAATCGTGCGAATCGCAGAAAGCCAGGCCAAGAATAAATGGCTGCGAAAATCTAGATATACACAGAGCTTTAACAGTCCAGTTTGAACTCGAGCGTTTTGGGTTCACCTGCAAGGAACTCGCAGTTGGGGTAAAACACTATACTTATTATACTTATTCAATGGTAAATATTTATTGGCACCTCAACATCGAAAGTTCCAAGTTCCAAATGGTTTGTGGCCACCTGCTTGGAAGACCAGGAGCAGTGCACTGGATCAGAGTTGGAAATGCTTAAACCAGTTTGACAGTTTAAAGTGGCGCCAGCTTAGGCCATCAGCTCAGCTGTACTGCGAACTGCAACTGCAACTGCAACTTTAACTCCGCCGGAGTCAACACTTCCGGGCGGAACAGACTCCGGATGACGGCGAGTGCATCAGCAGTTGACAAGCGCCAGATTAGCTTACAATTACAACAAAGCCGGCGCTGAAAGGTGACTAAGCTGATGATGAATAGTAACCTGGCAAAAGGGGGTCCACAAAATCCGGGCACAGAGATTGTGGGTGGTGCAAAGTAAATATTTGCTCCATATGTGAGCGAGTGAATAAAGTTCAAGCAGGGCCAAGAAAATGCAGGGAAACTGCCAAGCGCCTGCTATGGAATACCAGTGTTTCTGGATTAATTATTGGCTAGAAGGAATACATAAAATACATAAAATGCTAATGAGATGCTTACTTAAAATCAACAGAATGGGTAAAGGCAAATGTTGGTGTTTTATTTGCTACTTATGCTGATTAACTATGAATTGCCAAGCTTCCAATGATGAATATTGGCAGAAATTGTCAGAATATTAAGAAAATGCTTCGACTACATAAATAGGTAAAACATAAATGTAAGATATGTAGAAATCAAGTTACACTAAAGGCTAAAGTATAAGAAAAAGATTATGAATTGATAGAGACATCAAACAAATTAAAAGAATAACATGCTAGACATACTGGATACATAAGTTAAGCATTACGATACATAACAGAAACAAGGCACATGCCTAAATTACAGATTATAAACTGTAGCAATTAAACTTCACACGAGGTGCACTTACCTAGAGCTCAACAATCTTTCGGCCTCGGCGGCGGTCATGTCATCCGGCAGGCTATCCACGCGCGGAATCGCCGCAGCTGGAGGAGCAGCTTGGATCGGAGGAGCAGTGGCCACACTGTGGTTCACATGAACCTTGATCACCTCGTCCACGACATCGTCGATTAGTTCCACGTCCAGTATATCGCCGTCCTTTAAGTGATTGATGATGTCCTCCTCATCCTCGCCAGCGCTGGTATCGGCATACTCCAAATCCTGAAGCTCCAGGGAGCCTTGAGCTGGAGCTCGTCGTTCGGGAAGAACAGGAGCCTCTTCCTCATCGTCGTCCTGCTGGAGTTCCAGCACCTCCACATACTCCACGGCCAGGTGCTCGTCCTCCTCCACGAGATCTAGTTCCTCCTCCTCGTGCGCATCGATAGAGGCGATGGGGGCAATGCCCTTCACCATGGCTGAACGGGCGGGCGAACAGGGAGGCGTGGACTTGGCACTGCCTCCACCTCCACCACCCACACCCTGATCCTGATTGCTGCTGTTGCGCCGCCTTATGGGTGAAACCACTCCCACGGGTGGGGAATTATACGACCCACGATGCAGGGGGGATCCCTCAACGCTGGAAGAAGTGGGCGACTGGAGGAGAACCCCTCTTGCAGGTGCCACTGGCTGGGATTCCTGCATGTCCGGCTTGATAATGGCATAAACCGTGCTCGATTCCTGGCCAAAACCATTGGCGCCGTGGAACTTGCGCTGCATATCGGTCACCTTGGCCGTGTCGTACAGTTCGGCCTCCGATCCGTACACCTCGCGACTTTCGCTGCCATCGGGATTGAGGCGATAGCCCACGTCCACGTAGTTGAGGCTGTGCGGCTGCTCCTCCGTCTGGTCGTAGGCGGGCTGCAGCTTGGCCTTCAGCTCGGGCGCGGACTCATTGAAGCCACCCTCGTCCTGGCTGGTCGTCGATATAATGCTCGGAGGACGCTGGCCAAGACCGGCGGCTGGCATGTTCACCGTGATGCTGCTGCGCTTGTTGGCCACTCGCTGGGGAGATCCGGTGGCGGAGCCCGGAATGAAATGTTGCTGCTGCTGCTGGGAGTTGTTGGCCGATGGCGAAGATTCGTCCACAGATTTGCGACCTGGAAGCACAGAAATTAGCCATTAATATATGCATACAGTATAAAAGCTCCCAGCAATTTAAACTTTAATATATAAAAATAGTATCTTTTATTATGAAACTAATTTGAAAACATGTTATTTGAACAACAAAACAGGTTCATTATGCCAAATCCTCTTTGAGCATTCTAATCAGATCTTTTTGCATACTGAGCAGCATATGAACGCGTTCCGAGTTGGAATTATCACTGCAATGCAGCTCTAAATCGGAACTATCCTGCAAATGTTGCTCGAAAAAGGTGCGATATCTTTTCAGCTCCTCCTCCAAAATGTCCTTGTTGTCCAGATCCGGTTCACCACGCAACTCCTTCCTAATGAGCTCCATCAATTCGATCATACGTCGTCGATCATCTTCGAGAGACTTCTGACTATCTGCATTCCGGAAGGCATTGGGCGTGTTGCTTCTGGGCAGAAATTTAGATGGCGAGGATAGGGATCGACTGGTGGACGATTGGGCGGCAGATATAGAGGAATGGTTGAAACGGAAGTTCGCTTTTTCGTTTCTATAAAGTGAATGCAGTTCGTCATCACTGGTCATGGGCACGGAACGGAGGAGCTGTCGCCTCCTATACAGCTGGGGTTTTGAAATGGATTCAGCAGTCCCGCCGGAGGGACGACAACAGTTCGAGAAGGTATCCCAATACTCAGATGTCGGCTGTGTACCGCTGCAGGCATATGTTGAAGCGCAGGAAACTGCAGAGGATTGCTTCGGGTCACAGAAACGCGGCATTTCAGTCAGGTTAGCGGATTGCTGAGCCGCTGGATTCTCCGAAAAGTCGACCGAAGTCAACTCCGCCGGCGGAGGCTGCTCGAAAACGCCAGTCAGACGCCTTCTGTTCAGGCAAACAATGAAATGACTCATGTACGCGTTGCGCAGGCGCAGATCGTCGAGGGTGTGGCAATGCATGGTGGTCAGTTTGTTGAGCCACAGCCAGGCTGTCCTGAACTCCGGCGAGTTCTCGCAGAACACATCCTCTGGACTCGGCGAGCAGTCCAGCATCAGGACAAAGTCGTTGGAGAGCAGGGAGCTATTTTGGTCGTTCTCATCCGATGTCCTTCGATTCTGATTCCGATGCACCGCAGTGCGGCTTTCCTCGTTCTCCACATGAGTGTAGGATGTGGTAAGGAGCAGGCTGGCATGACTATTACTCTTCCTTCTGTCACTCGCCACTTCCTTTGAATCTGGCATAATTCATTTATGTTATTCAAGCGTGTTTTTAATTTTGTTTTGTTCAAACAATCGAAAAATGTCAAGGCGAGAGAATTCTACTTGGCTCCTTCGATATTTGAATAACTCACACATTCCTTAGCCTTAAAATTTAAATATCTGAGTCACAGGTTCACCGCTAAATGTTGTGACACTTTCAATGAATTGTTTAATTAATTATCCATTTTCCCAATTTATTTATTTATGCACGCATTTGCTGGGCAACACGAATGCCTTAATGGATCAGAGCTCATCGCGACTTTCATACACATATCTTTTGGGACTTTGCAGACTATTTTCGTGTGTGGGTGCCGATGCTAAAGCTGTCAACGGAAGGCATAAATATAGCCGCCTCCAAATACACGAATGTATATGTACATCTCTGAATTGGACCTTTGGGAATCTTTAGTGGCGAGATGGAGCAGACATGCGACATACTTATATATACATTTTCTTTTTTTTTTTTTTTTGTAAAACGTGTAGGCCTTTTCCAATTGACAGTGGAATGTCTTAGAAGTTTTGTAAGCTTGCCAATTATCTTGGGCGCGGATAAATAAAAGTCTCGAGCTATTTTAAATATTTGTATTCAACTATTCTTTTTATGCAAACACGCTCTTCATTTTACTACTGCTAAGTACTAACCTCGACAGGCTTGGCAAAGTTTTCGCAAACTGAGACACATTTTTATACCACTTATCAATGTTTTGAGATACGCATGTTGCGATTACTAAACGGATTGTTAAATTAGGCTAAGAGGCTGGAAACGAAAACGGGTGCTCATATAGTAACCATGATTAAAATAGGGTTTTAGTTTAATTTCATACATTTGAACCGAGTTTGAGAGAATACTTGAATTGAAAACGCATACTAAATTGCACGTGTTTCTTTCACACAGCCTGATATCGTTTGCCAATAAAGAGGCCTTGCCGGAGACATGATAACAAAGCCAGGATTTTGGGTGCTGCCAGTTGACCGACCACAGGAGCCGGAGTTGGCCAACTGGCTGGATCCGGTCAAGTGCACCCTGGCGTATGCTTAATGCCAATTAGACAAGCGTGCGCTTTTAATTAAGAGCAGCATGAATACTTAACGCAAACGGGGGACTGAGGTCAGTTTGGGTGAGGGGGCGGGATGAGCGGGCGCAGCTGGCGAGGGCCAATGCGGCGTATGTGTGATTTCTGTTTCGGTTCAAGTAAATAAACTTGATGAAAATTCAAGCCAAATTCCGAAGGTCGGCCGCTGAGTGGAGGAGGCGTAAACAAACGCAATTGAAATCGATGAAAAATCGAAGGGGAAAATCACACTTTTGTTCGCTCTGCGTGTGCGTTGTATAATGAGATGCGAAAATTAATGAAAAACCGGGCCAAAAATAAATGCTTTGCAAAAAATAGCACGGGAATAAAAACAAAAGCAAACAAAAGACAATTAATGAGAAGTAACAAATGGCAAATCAGAAAAGGGGGTAAACGAAATGGGAAAAAGTTTCCAATAAATCAAGGTTTATAAATAACTTTCCCAGTAATTGAAGCAATGAAAACGAATGAATAGAAAAAATGCAACTACATATATACACATTCATCCAATGCTTTTAATAAATCAAAATAAATAAAAAAATCGATTTCAGTTTGCTAAATCAAAAAAGTGGTTGAAAAAATGTAAGCACTTGCTTTTCACTTTGAGGAACGACCACCAAAACCATGAAAAATTTGCCTAGTAAAATGCAAAAATAATTGTTTGAGGAACCACAACAAAGCAACAGCAAATTAGAGAAGCCAAAAACAGAGCAATGGAAGATTTTGCAAGAGAAGCAAGAAGAAATGTCAAGACAAAAAAACGGAAGTTGCTGTCAAAATGTGCCAAAAACCCACAGATAAGGAGGGGAATCTCCGGCAAGAAAGGCAGCTGCATCGTGTGGGCTGGATGATATAGTAAGTCGGCGTTTGTGTACTTGTTGGGTCAACTTCCAAAAGTCCTGACTATGCAGATGTGCATAATGAAAACACAAACGGGACCAAAACAAAGGAGGGTCTTAAATCTCTGTGGCTCAAAAGAGGGCACAAAGATCTTCTGCATGTCCTGCAAAATAGCTGAGCTAAACTCCTGGAAATTCATTAAAGCAAAAATAAACGGCAATCTGAACGACTGCACAAATATTTCAAATTTTTGTTGAAGATAAATTTCTGTACATGCAAACTAATTTCAAATGTTTTGCTTTTAGGATGGTTTCTTTTATGGCAGGAGGAAATGCTTCAAAATAAATAAATAAAATTATTGTTTAATATGCACTTAGTACTATCTTATTTTGATTTGTCTCCCAGTTTTATTTGACAGATAACTTTTTCAAAATGTACTCAAATAACTATAAGTATACCTTAAGTTAAAAAAACATAGAGTAGGAGAACAAACCCAACTACTTTCCAACCCAAATGCAGCCGCAACTAAGTTAATAACTTAATTCATTTGAAACCGAAATTGATTTTGAATACTTGAGGACATTTCTTAGCCCAAGGAAAATATCTCAATGCAAGTCGAAGCATATATTTTGGCCACATTCCTGTTTCCGTCCAGCAGCAACAGGCAAACGAAAGGAACAAAAACCAACACTGAAATATTTTACAACCTCTGAATGGCGAAAACTGCAAACACATGACAATCGCAAATATTTCTGTTGTGGCATACAGTTTCAAATTTGAAAATAAACTCGGCGAAAGGAGAAAAAGCAGCAGAAGAGTGCGAGAAAAATGTGCAAAAAATATAGAAAAAGTTTAAATGTTCCCTGGTGGCTGTGTTGCCATGCCAAGAAAAACTTCCCAGCCAATGTGAATGAATTTAATGAATATTTTGTTTGTCGCCAAAACAAAATGCAGTTCGCTGAACCATCGGCGAAACAAAGAAAGGCTTCCATAATTTTCGATATCCAGAAGATACTCTACAGCTGGCAGATGTTTGCATCTTTTGCGTACTTTTTGCGCTTTTGTCTGTACATCTGTATTTTCTGGCCGCCATCAATTAACTCGTTTTAAAGCGAAACTGCCGCATATATTAGGGTCACTCGGGCAGTTTGCAATTTAATTTCAGTTCAAATCAATTACGCAATGCGTAAAGTTGCAAGTGAATGAATACCTCAACACTTAGATGTGATTCAAAAAGAGGATCGCCATTCGATAATAGCACTTTCCCGGCACAGTTCAAATTCTCAACTGATCACAACGACGGTGACAAGAAAAAGCCAGACCTCTCCGCACCATTCAAGACAATTCCAGACTCCGAAGGCGAGGATCTGTTATCAGCCAAGGGGGACAAAAAAGCCAAATCTGGCACCTCACGTGCCCCTCGAAAATCGAACAAACCCACAACAATCACGCCCCTAGCTCATGGTTACTATATATTTCAATTTTCTATTTCTTTGCCTCGGGGCAACGTGCGGCATATAATTTGTTTTGATTTGCACGGCTTCGGATTATCTTCTCTGTACTATAGAATATATTGAATTATTTTGTTTTGGGAATTCTTTCGATTACGCGTTTAAAATCTTTTTTCGATTTTATTGCGAAAGTTCTTGCCCGCTTATCAACGCGACATCAACTGAAAAACGACTGCAGAAAATGTTCGCTTTTTCACCATCGCTGCGAAGAAGAGAGCGTGGAAAATGGGCATATAGCCGAGAGATCTGACAGATCGGCGGACCATTCGCTCTCTGCCGTGCGTTTTTTGGGGCCAGACATGTGGCAGCCAAGTTACAGGGTATTCCGAGTGGATCTCGAACACATTCTTCTCGAGGGTCGCCGCTTGTCAAGCTGCCAGATTGCAAAATCCGCAAAATGAAATGTTGGGAAAGGCCAGAAATCCGAGAGAATCAGTCAAGTGTCGAGACAGAATTTTCGACTAGTGATATCTAATAATAAAATTGAATGAAAATAGCTGGGAACGACGTTCAGCTAAAGGAGGCAGAGTTGGAATTTTCCTCTATAACTTTTGGAACCATTAGAAATACCCCTTTTATGGCTGTAATATTCAAAGAAAAAAGTGCTGTAATTCAATTATACTATTCCAAAACTGATACTAAATATTTGTAGGAAATTAACCACAATTTCCTTCAGTGGACTTCAAACAGCGTTTGTGATGATTTCCAAAGAGTTTTCTCTCTTTTGCGAAATGTCGCGTTGATGATTTTTTTTTATGTGAACATATTTCAGCACATTTTCGCAATGGACGTCATCAGTTTGGCGTGAAAAGAAGTAAAGGAAAACTGTGGAAAAACTACAACATAAATGAGAAAAGTGCGAAGATGCTGGGTGGTCAAAGGAGGCACACAAAGAAGAGGAAAAGCGAGGGGAATCGTCTGCAAGTGGCTGTCGAAAAACCCACGCGCCTTTCATTAAGACATTGGATCATTGAACTCTGGTGGTAAGTTTTCTATCTATAAAACTCACTGCATTTATATAACTAGAATTATTTTCAACTATTGAGTTATTGTTTCCATTGTTTTAAGCTAATTATTAAGGCGTTTCTTATATATATTTTAATAAAAACGGAAGTAATATTAAATAACAGTTGTTGCAAGCAGTGCAAGCAGTGTGACACTGGCGCCATCTGTTGTTCGGCAGACGAAGCTGTGGGGTGCAAGCAAACTAAGAGCACGAATATAGCTGCGACTACAACCATATGTATCACTGCCAGGGCTGTAGTGACTCTAGCGAAGACAGAAACCCACTGCTGGCGAATACACCGAGCAAAAGTAGTGAACAGTCAAGGCACTTAAAATTTGGAAATTTGATAAGGTATGATGTGTAATGTAAACTTTTTATACAAGGAACTTTAAAGCAATGACAACATCTTTTATTTGCCGGTATTTGTGCTTTTCTTGTCGGCTTTCTGTAAATAATAAACGCGTACATCGTTTGTTTGAAATTGTGTGTGTTGTCTTCATTGTTTTCGTTTTGTTTGCGTTCGCGGCACACAAACACAAATGCAGCCGAGCCCCCTCTTTTCGCCTGTCTATTCGTAACATAT